GACTTTTGTAACAAAATGGATGAAACTAGAAACCACTATAGGTAGTGAAATTAGCCAGTCCCCAACAAGTTATTGTTAATCTTGATCTCATTCAGTATATAATTCTTTGATTCTAACTTCATCTTTGGGACTTAATTTTCTTATGAAGGCACTATGCTACATAAAAATTATGTTACACAAATGTATATGCTTTTTGCCTGTTGATCTGTCATATCAATTTTTAATGTTAATTTAATTACTTGGTACATTGGTACATTGGTCATTTGTTTATTTTCCTTTGTGAGGTATCTGTTAAAAACTTTTGACTCTTGGGACAAATGCTGTGGTATAGCGGGTAAAGCTGCCACCTGCAGTGCTGGCATCCCATATGGGCACCTGTTCGAGTCCTGGCTGCTGTACTTCGATCCAGCTCTCTACTATGGCCTGAGAAAGCAGTAGAAGATGGCTCAAGTCCTTGTGCCCCTACACCCCCGTGGGAATACCTGGAGGAAGCTCCTGGGTCCTGGCCTTGGATCAGCGCAGCTCCAGCCGTTGTGGCCATCCATCTGGGGAGTGAACCAGCAGATGGAAAATCCCTCTCTGTTTCTCTCTGCCTCCACTTCTCTGTGTAACTCTGATCTTCAAATAAATAAATAAATCTTCAAAAATAAAACTTTTGACTATTTAAAAATTTTTTTTTCATGTTATTAGTTGTAGAAGTTCTTTAACAACTCTGACTAAAAATCCTTTTTGGATATATGTGTTGAGATTATTTTTTCCACAGTCTATGGTTTTTTTTTTTAATTCATATGTCTCAATGGCATCTTCTAATGCAGTTTCTAATTTTGATTTTTTTTAAATTTATCTGCTATTTTAAGAAATATTTGTTTATTTTTAGGTAATGAAGATATTGCCCTATATTTTTGTCAAAGCTCTATATTTTTATTTATTTGACAGGTAGAGTTACAGACAGTGAGAAAGAGAGATAGAAAGGTCTTCCTTCCGTTGGTTCACTCCCCAAATGGCCGCAACGGCCGGAGCTACACCGATCCGAAGCCAGGAGCCAGGTGCTTCTTCCTGGTCTCCCATGTGGGTGCAGGGGCCCAAGCACTTGGGTCATTCTCCACTTGCCTTCCCGGGCCACAGCAGAGAGCTGGACTGGAAGAGGAGCAACCGGGACTGGAACCTGGCGCCCATAGTTGATGCCAGCACCGCAGGCAGAGGATTAACCTAGTGCGCCACTGAGCTGGCCCCAAAGCTCTATATTTTTACCTTTTACAACTTGACAATGTTGATTTTTAAGATACATATGTAGGAGTCCAGCACTGTAGCATAGGCCAGTAAAGCTGGTATCCCATATGGGACTGGTTTGTGTCCCAGCTGCTCCACTTTGGATCCAGCTCCCTGCTAATGTGCCTGGGAGAGCAGTGGAAGATGGCCCTAGTGCTTGGGCCCCTGCCACCCACATGGAAGACCTGGATGAAGCTCCTGGCTCCTGGCTTCACACTGGCCCAGCTCTGGCAATTGTGCCCATTTTGGGAGTGACCCAGTAGATAGAAGATCTTTATCTCTTCCTCCCCTTGTGCATAACTCTGCCTTTCAAATAAATTATTTTTTAAAATATATATATTCAAATGTAAACACCCCAAAAACTAAAAAAAGGAAAAGAAACAAAAATATTCTTCTTATTTTATAGACTCTGTGAATGACCAAATGTTTAGGCCCCTGGCACCCATGAGTTCCAGGCTCCTGGCTTCTGCCAGGCCCAGCCCTGGCAGTTGCTGCCATTTGGGGAGTGAACCAGTTGATGGAATCTCTCTCTCTCCCTCTGTCTGCAATTCTTTCAAGTAAATAATTAAGTAAATAAACCTTTTAAAAAAATGTTATCTTAGGGTAGGAGCATGGGGCGGGAGGGAGGGTGGGGTGGGAAATATCACTATGCTCCTAAATGTATATATAAGAAATATAGGAAATACATACAACTATGCCAGCCCCAAAGATAACATACTTTTAATTTACAGTAGTCAAAGGCAATTTTTGTTGTTCTTAAACTGGTAGAAAACCATAGTCTAGAACAGTGGTTCAAAGCTTAAATCTTCATCACTCTCAAAATTATTAAAAATAGTACTATGGGTTTAATTGCTAGAGAATGATTTTGTTCCAGAAATTCTGTGGTGCAGGTAGGTTTGGGAATTACTGATCTGGAAGTTCTTAATGTTTGACCAAACTTAAAGCTACCACATCTACTATATTCTCAATCCGAAACCAGCCCAAGTTAATGGAAATAACTTGCTGTATTTTAATTTCCGTGTGCTGTTGCCTTTTACTCTCCTTTGACATAGTTCATTTAAAAATTCAGGGGGATTGGGAGGAAGTGGTACAGGAGAATTTTACTGTACATATTCTGTCACAACAAGGTATAACAATAAAATGAGAGCATTTTGGAACAAGAATCAATTGCTGGCTTTTGCTTTTCTTCTGCAAGAGAAAATTGCAACAAGTCTTGACAGGAAGTTGATGGAATTTCTTTTCTTTTTAATTTTAAATAGTTGGTTCTACTGTATGGTTTTGCTAATGGAACCTGGCTTGGCTGGCAATTAAACAGGGAACTTCTCATTGGGTGTTTTCGAGACTACCGCGGGGGAATCAGCTGCCAGTTTACTGCACTGTGGAAAACTCCGTGAGATTCCGGGATTGGAATCAAAATGCTAATTTAAAAGGTCAAGTGAAGCCGCACCTCACGTTTCGGCGTGCCTGCGCTCTCTGCAGGCTGAGCAGACAAAGAGCACGCGGAGCCCGCAGAGGCTGACACCCATCCCGGATCTGTTTTCCCGAAATAATTTTGGAATCATGCCTGAAATGCCGGAGGACATGGAGCAGGTAAGAGCAAGCAATTCACGAAATGAAGCAGTCTGGAGTTAGAGTTGCTTTAAAAGCATTCCAGTGAATGCCTGGTAAAAGCAGAATGGGTGTGTGAAGAAAAAGAAAGGAGTACAGTCATTACCTAAAAACATAACCTTGGGACACAGAACAAGAAGCCAACTTTAGTTACTGACCCAGGGCAGCAGCTAAGCCGCGTTAATCGACAAGATAAAATGCAGAATAGCACAGCGGCTTCGTTTACCAGATTAAATTCAGTAATGTCTGTGAAGGGTCTATGTAAACACATAGCTACAGTTGGGGGCTCCAGTCTTTGTTTGAATTGAATCTGCTCACATAACTTTCAGTTCCTGGCTGCTGTGTAGATAGATTTAGCCACCACACTAAGTTGGATACTGTCTGTGTAAGGATGACGTTTGATTCACATGAACCCTATCATTATTAAAGAAAATAATTAAAAACCATACGGAAACGTATGCCCCTAGAACTATACCCAACTTACGTGGCAAGTCTCTCTCAAGTGTAGGCCAGGTGTTTTTGCACGTCACACAAGATAAGGCTGCTCTGAGAATCAAAATGATAATTGTATGTGCTTGTCCATAAATTCTCTTCATGTTGAGCACTTTTTATTTCTCTAGAAAGACTCTTTGCATTATACCTAGCAAATAGAAACTGAAAACAGAATTCCCGGTTTTTAAACAAGAAGGATTAAGAAGATCTTGGGTCCGGTTCCCCTTCCTCCTTTATCTTGCCCTTCTCTTTGTTGTCTGTTGATTATGCTACTTTAGTGCCCTGGGCTCTCTCAATGATTCCCTAAATAATGCTAAATCTTTGATCATCAAAGATCCAGTTTAAAAAAAACAATAGAAAAGGAGGCTCCTGTACTGTTTCAAAGAAAACTTTTTTGTTGATGTGAATAAGGAATTCTTAGTTGGGGGTTGGGTAGAAAGGAAAAGTCACGGGCTCTGGCGTAGTTAAATTTTTCCAAAGTCTCTACCATTTTTGGTTTATTAGACGGTGGTTATGAAAATAAGGCCTTCTTAGGAAAATCCTAGCGGCGATCACGTTTGTGGGCGACTTACAGATCTCATTATTCCGGGGCCCTAAACAAGAACAACGTAGCCCTTCCGTGGAAGCTCGGCCAATTCTAAGCCTAATGAGCTGAGGACTTTTTTCTGGGTAAATTTCAGAGGCATACCGGCGGGCGCGGGACATCTTGCTATTTTTGAATGACTGTAAGAGAGGTCACTTGGGTACTAGGCTGGTCACAGCACACAGGGCTATCGCTCCTTACTTTTAGAAGGCGATACAGGCAGCAGAACGCCCGGCATGTCATCCTACCCTTGGTTTTTCCTTTAACCGTGGGCGCTCGCCCAGGCTGCGCTCGCTTAGCCGCAGGCTGCAGCTGGAAGTCGGTGCGTCCCGCAGGGTGCTCTGGACTCCTGCTCGATCCACCGAAAAGGAGGTCCCTGGTTCTGCCACCAGTTTCTCATTCTAATTATGGGCAAAGTCCAAGAATGTTTGCTTTGAAGAGGTGCCCAGAGATTTCATATTTCTCTCCCCCTACACCTTTTTATTTTTAATTAGTTAAATATGGTGCCATAGTTTTGAAATTTCACACATACTTTTTTTGAAGCATCCCAGAAAGACGAATAAGTTGCTGAGGTGTGAGTGACTCAGATAACACTTTTATTTTTATTTTATTTATTTTATTTTTACCTCTTTCTAAAGCTTTCAACAGCCTACGGGTCTAACGATCCATTTTTATTGTGCTTCCTCCCTGCCCCCTCACCTCCCCTGACTTTAAAAATGCTTTATTCTACTTTAGTATAGTACACGTACAGTTGATTCTTATGCACTGCGTATTAGTCTGAAAAGTTAAAACTCTAGGTTATCCAATTCAATGTTTCCCCAGTTAAGAAGAAAAAACGAAACAGAAGAAAAAACGAAACAGAAGAAAAAGCACGTATACAAACAACATTTGCGTTCTTTGCTTAACTTCAGCGTCTTTGTTTTGTGTATCACTTTAAGACTTGGCGCGTGGGCTGGGGAGCGTCCCCTGAGCGCCCGCCCGCTTTCTGTGACGTATCCAGGGCGTGGCCAATCAAAGGGTGCAGCCAAGGCAGCGGAAGCCGGAAGTGGCGAGCTGGGGTCGGCTACGGCCTAGAAGAGGCGGGCCGAGGGCATCTAGTTGAGGCCCGCGGCAGTCCTGGGCTGTAGGAGGCGGCAGCCGCTCGGGCGGCGTTGTGAAGACGGCGGGTATGGTGGGGCGGGAGAAAGAACTTTCCATTCACTTTGTTCCTGGGAGCTGCCGGCTGGTGGAGGTGAGGGTTTGCCTTGGTGGTCTTCCATGGGAACCGGGGTAGGGGTTGGGAGCCCAGAGGAGACGAAACAGGTCCGGGAGGTTCGGGGCGGTTTTCCAGGCGCACCCCATCGGGATCAGCGCCCCGGCCGGGAGTCGTCTCGGCGTCGCCCTCGCAGCCTTGGAGTAGAGGGCGGCGCCACCGAGTTTGTTTACCTCGGCGCACAGCAGCGCTGCGGCTTTTGGGTCGAGGTTTTACTTTCGAGTTCTCAGTCTCTGCTCCCACCGACGAAGAAGGAGATTTTACAGTTGTTTGCGTTGTGGTTCTTCATTGTTAGTTCGTGATTTTACAAGTTCTAGCTTTGAGAAAGGACGAAGGAAGGTAGCTCTTTGGAGGTAACAGTGCTGGAAGTGATAACTTGCCGAACTCCTGGTTTGTGCAGAGCTCTACGCTATGGATTTTGCAACCATTATTTTTATAGGCGATAGAAGGGAGTCAGAATAAGACGATTGCCCGAGTTCATTCGGTGAGGTTGGAGCGAGGGATTCGTGGTCGACTGTCTTGGGCTTTGAACCACTAAAGCAGTAGCATTGAAGGGAGACTATCTGCGTGTTAGGGAGCTCCATCCATGAGGTCCTCCCCACATCCAGCACCTCCATTGCATTTCAGGCCTTCCAGCATCCAGAATATATCCAGCTGTGACCATAACTGCTAATGTCCAGACCTGTATGTCTTCTGGATATGAGATGGTTGTTTTAAACATGCACTTTTTTTTATGCTTTCAAAGTTTAATGAATTCAGTGTTTTTAAATCGTCTTGGTTCTTTAAGGTAGAGTTAGGATAGATGAGCTGTCTAACCTGTATTCCTGCGAGCCCCAAACAGTACCAGTTCATCTCTTACAGAGTGTTTACATATGTATGCGCATGCATGGCTCTCTGTGTGTTTGTGTGTGTAAAGCTTAATCTGCTTATACAATAGAAGTTCAGTAAAGGGAAAATGGCTTTTAATGGTTTCCTTCATTAAAAAGGATAGATCTAAGAGCTCAGACACATACTACGCTCTCAGAACCCGTAGTGTTAAAACTCATCTTGTAAGAATGAGGACTGCCCGAGGATTAATGTCAAGAGAAGCAGCTGGTGGAGGTGGCTGATAGGGTGACAGTAGAAGTTAGAACAATCCTGCCTAGGTATTAAGGAATCTTAAAGTTTATTAAAGGCCAGGTCTACCTCCTGGGAATCTTGTGAGAATCCACTTAAAAAATGACTATGAAATTTTGCCAAATTTATAAGTTTTTTAAAATATACTACTAAAATTAACATTCCTTTCCAAATATTACTGATAGTCCACTGTCTTTTAAAACATTTTTTGAAATCTTCTTTTTTAGTTTATTTTAATTAATTCATTTGGAAAGTTAGAGTTACTAAGAGGGGGAGACACAGAGATCTTCCAGCCACTGATTGACTCCTCAGATGGCCTCAATGGCCAATGCTGGGTCAGGCACTGGCCAGGCCGAAACCAGGAGTTTTGTTTTGGTCTCTCATGTGGGTAACAGAGGCCCAAACACTTGTACTGTCTTTTGCTGCTCTTCCAGAGCATTAGCAGGGAGCTGGGCCAGAAGTGGAGCATATTGGACAAGAACCAGCAACTATATAGGATGCCAGGTCTCAGGCAGGCAGCGCTATCTGTCATGCCACAGCACTGGCCTGGCTAGAACGTTTTTGATAGTTAATGAGCTAAAGTGGAAATCACTGTCCCAGAGCACTGTTGGACCATTTGGACAGCGTTTGTCTCCCATTATCTTTATGAGTACAATTTCATATAAATTTTTTAGCACAATATAAACAGTAGCTCTACATTGATTTGTCCAATAATTTTCAAGAAAATTTTGGTATCTAAAAATGTGATTGCCTAAAGTGGTTGAATTCCATACAACTAAGTTTATACAAAAAGAGACAGGTACATTTAGAGTACCTTAAACTTGTTGAGTATACTTAATATAACAGAAATTGAGAAAGAAGAATTTTCACACAAACATTTTGAATTTTTTATTGTGGTTTGGATGACCTAGGCAACTTTTTATTCTTTCATTCTGAGTCTTTTGGAATGTTTGGATATTCCTGTGTTTTGAAGGACCAAAATAAATTCTAGGAATGATTAACCAAAGTAATTTTTAGAGGAAACTTTTTATTCCTAAGCTATTTATAGCAGATTATGTTTATATAAACTTCACAGTTTTCGTAGATAAGATTGTGCAGTATCATTTCCTCTTCAGCAAATGCTTGCACTTTATTTTTTAAAACAAAATTTTAAAGATTTTTTTTTGAAAGTCATAGTTACACAGTGAGAAGGAGAGAGAGAGAGAGATCTTCCATCCCCTGGTTCATTCCCCAAATGGCCCCAGCTGCCAGGTCTGGGCCAGGCCAATAACAGTTATCAGGTGCCTGTTGCGGATCTCCCACATGTGTGTAGGGGATCAAGTACTTGGGCCATCTTCGGCTACTTTCCCAGGCACATTAGAAGGGAGCTGGATCAGAAGTTGAGCAGCTGTGTGTTGAACCATTGCCTAAATGGGATGCTGGCATTGCATGTGGCAGCTTTACCTGCTGTGCCACAACGCTGGCCCCGAATGCTTGCACTTGAGATCCCTACTCTTTTAATAAGATTGTACGCACTGACATCTGACTACTGTCTAACCTGTATTATTTCAGGTTCTCTTCTAGGGATATTTTATATTACCTCAGGGTTTAAGGGTATAAAAATAGGTTTTTTCTTTTTTTTAAAAGATATAACTATTTTTCCCTTCATCTTACTTTTTTATAATTTATTTTTTAAGGGATACAAATTTCCTAAGTCCAACTTTAGGAATATAGTTATTCCCACCATACCCACACTCCCTCCTCTCTTCCTCCTCCTCCCTCTCCCCTTGCCAGTCCTGTTGTCCGTTAAGATTCATTTTTCTTTTTTTTTTTTTTTTAAAGATTTATTTATTTATTTGAAAATCAGAGTTATACGGAGAGAGAGAGAGGGGTCTTCCATCCACTGGTTCACTCCCCAGTTTGCCACAACGGCCAGAGCTGCACCGATCTGAAGCCAGGAACCAGGAGCTTCTTCCAGGTCTCCCATGTGGGTGCAGGGGCCCAAGGATTGGGCCATCTTCTTCTGCTTTCCCTGGCCATAGCAGAGAGCGGGATCGGAAGTGAAACAGCTGGGTCTCGAACTGGTGCCCATATGGATTGCCGGCGCTTCATGCCAGGGCGTTAACCCACTGCGCCACAGCACCAGCCCCAAGATTCATTTTCAGTTAACTTTATACACAGAAGACCAACTCTGTACTAAATAAAGATTTCAACAATTTGCACACACATACACACAAAAAAAACCTGAGAACCAGTTTTATAGTTAACTCTCGTAATACAACTCATTGAGGACAGAGGTCCTGCAGGGGGACTTAGTGCACATTGACTCATTTAATGTAACAGCACTCTGGTGTATGACATCAATGACCACTCAAGGCTCTTGACATGAGCTGCCTAGGCTATGGAAGCCTTTTGAGTCCAAAAACTCCATAAGTATTTGGACAAGGCCTTAAGCAAAGTAGAAGTTCTTTCCTCTCTTTAGAGAAAAGTACATCCTTCTTTGATGGCCACTTCTTTCCACAGGGTCTGTCTCACAGAGATCCTTCATTTAGAACATTTTTTGCCACAGTGTTTTGGCTTTCCATGCCTGTAATGGTCTTGTGGGTTTTTCAGTCAGAGCAGGAAGCCTTAATGTAGAAATAAGTTTGCAACATGCAACTACAATCATTTTAAGTGAATTGTGTTATATGCCTATCAGAACCTTGTTTGTGAAGCTTAATATTGGTGACCTCTGTGGTACAGAGGGTTGAGCCACCACCTGAGATGCCTACATAACATATAAGCACTGATTCAAGCCCTCACTGCTGCATCTGTGATCCAGGTCCATGCTAATACACCTGGAAAAGCAGTGTAAGATGGCCAGAGTACTTGGGCCTCTGCCACCTGTATGGGAGAACAAGGTGGAGTTCCAGTGCTTCTCTCTGGCCTGCCCTATGTGGCCATTTGGGTAGTGAAACCGTCATATGGAAGATTTCTGTCTCTCCTCTGTCTCTGTAATTCTGCCTTTCAAATAAAAAATCAGAAACAACCTCAATATTGGAGATGGGTGTTTAGCCTACCAGTTAATATTTTTAATTGAAAAAATTAATAAAATTTTTAATGAGAAGTCTTAGAAAATTTATGTAAAGTTAGGTTAATTAATTACATAATTTTTTTTTAATTTGAGAGGTAGAATTACAGACAGTGAGAGGTAGAGAGAGAGAGAAAGGTCTTCCTTCCATTGGTTCACTCCCCAGATGGCTGCAACGGCCAGAGCTGTGCAGGTCTGAAGCCTGAATCGAAGCCAAGAGCCAGGTGCTTCCTCCTGGTCTCCCATGTGGGTGCAGCGGCACAAGCACTTGGGCCATCCTCCACTGCCTTTTTGGGCCACAGCAGAGAGCTGGATTGGAAGAGGAGCAGCTGGGACTAGAACTAGCGCCCTTATGTGATGCTGGCACTGCAGGCGGAGGATTAACCTACTGTGCCACAACGCCGGGCCCAGAAAAATTAGATTAAAAAACAACTTTTATTTTGGTGCAAAATTTTTTTTTTTTTATTTTTTTTTTATTTTTGATAGGCAGAGTGGACAGTGAGAGAGAGAGACAGAGAGAGAAAGGTCTTCCTTTGCCGTTGGTTCACCCTCCAATGGCCGCCGCTGCAGCCGGCGCACCGCGCTGATCTGATGGCAGGAGCCAGGATCCAGGTGCTTTTCCTGGTCTCCCATGGGGTGCAGGGCCCAAGCACCTGGGCCATCCTCCACTGCACTCCCTGGCCATAGCAGAGAGCTGGCCTGGAAGAGGGGCAACCGGGACAGAATCCGGCGCCCCGACCGGGACTAGAACCCGGTGTGCCGGCGCCGCAAGGTGGAGGATTAGCCTATTGAGCCACGGCGCCGGCCTGGTGCAAAAATTTTTTAAAACCAGATGTAGTTTTTTCATAATAAGCACTTTCCATAATAGGGCAGTGATAATAGTAGACAGCATATTGGCTTTTTTTTTTTTTTTTACCTTTATAGAGCCAGTAACCTACAAAGATGGTAATTCACTGTGGAGATTCCATAATACCTTGAATTGTGTTTCTTTCTTTTTTTTTTTTTTTTTTCAAAGATTGATTTATTTACTTGAAAGAGTTACGCGGAGGGAGAAGGAGAGGCAGAGAGGCGGAGGATTAGCCTAGTGAGCCGCGGCGCCGGCTGATACTTCGTTTTCTTTACCCTATGCCTCTCATTAGTCTTAAATATTATATGGAAGTAAAATTAGAGTTAACTCAAGAGCATTTAATACTTTGATTAAACTTAGAAAGCATGTTAGCGTTGTCGGAGCCAGATTTATTTGTCTTCACCTAAATTCCTTTGAAATGTTTACTAATTCCCAAACTCGGATCCATAAAAATATGGTAAATAACTTAGTGATATTTGAATGAGAATTGGGGATTAAAAGCTGAAGACCACAGATGTCAGTCAAACATTGGCAGATATAAACAAAATACTTAAGAAGACCATAAAGTCAGTAAACTTAAAACTGAAGTTGTAGGTATTTTTTAAACTGACGAACATAATTGATATTGGTATTTGGGGAACATCAGTCATAAAAATAAGATTTTCCGGGGCCGGTGCCACATGGCTTACTTGGTTAAACCTCCACCTGTGGCGCCAGCATCCCATATGGGCGCCGGGTTCTAGTCCCGGTTGTTCCTCTTCCAGTCCAGTGCTCTGCTGTGGCCCAGGAGGGCAGTGGAGGATGGCTCAAGTGCTTGGGCCCCTGCACCCGCATGGAAGACCAGGAAGAAGCACCTGGCTCCTGGCTTTGGCTTGGCGCAGCGCCAGCCGTAGCGGCCATTTGGGGAATGAACCAACAGAAGGAAGACCTTTGTCTCTGTCTCTCTCTCTCTCTCTCTCACTGTCTATAACTACCTGTCAAATAAATAAATAAAATAAATTTTCCATTATTAGTATAGGATATCTAAATCTAGCTAAATCTAGTAAATTTTGGAGTATTATTTGAGTTTTTCTTCGGTGAGATTATTAGAACTTTTTCTTAATGCAGTTGTTGATGTAGTTTTATTAATCTTTGTTACAACTTTAGAATTGGCATATAGTTATGGGTTATGAACCAAACTGCTTATGCTTGGCATATTCAGTGAACAATGGTGAAAACTTTAGATTTTTTAAGCAAACATTGCTTTCTTCTGCCTTTTAGGAGGAAGTTAACATCCCCAGTAGGCGTGTTCTGGTTACTGGTGCCACTGGACTTCTCGGCAGAGCTGTACACAAGGAATTTCAGCAGAATAATTGGCATGCCGTTGGCTGTGGTTTTCGAAGAGCAAGACCAAAATTTGAACAAGTTAATCTGTTGGATTCTGATGCAGTTCATCACATCATTCATGAGTTTCAGGTGTGGTTTAGTCGTCCTTTTGATGTATATGAGCTATTTTAAGAATTGTCTCAGTGTAAAACATGTGATTTCAGCTTTCAAGTAAGTTAATTACTGTGCTTGAAAGCTTTAACCTAATAAGTAGTAACAATATATAGTGTACTCTGCATTAGCATGGCTGTGTGTATACTGAGTTACGTGTTAACAGACGAAAATATGAAGTATTTTGTGCAAAGATTGTTTCTGAAGTGTCTTCTCAATGCTGTTTTGTATGGAAATGTCTTGTATGTTTTCTGTGGACTATAGTGCTGTAAAGGAGATGGTGTCATTTTTTAAAAAAAGATGTATTTATTTATTTGAAAGGCAGATTTACAGAGAGGCAGAGGCAGAAAGAGAGAGACAGAGATCTTCCATCCTCTGGTTCACTCCCCAAATGGCTGCAATGGCCAGAGCTGCCCATTCCAAAGCCAGGAGCCAGGAACTTCCTTTGGGTCTCCCACATGGGTGCAGGGGCCCAAGGACTTGGGCCATCTTCCACTGCTTTCCCAGGCCATAGCAGAGAGCTATATTGAAAGTGGAGCAGCCAGGACTTGAACCAGTGTCAATATGAGATGTCAGCACTGCAGGTTTTACCCACTACACCACAGCACCAGCCCCGATAGTATCATTTCTAATTTAGAACTGAGAAGTCAGGCTTAGAGAGGTTAAAAGACTTTGTCCATGGCCACAGGAAAGTTTAGGTTTGTTCTACCTTTGATAAAATACAGAGTTCATATTCTTTGTAAACCTACATCAGATTCACTTGGGAAACTTTTTTCTTGGGCCTCACTCTGAAAGATTTAAAACAATTAAAAAAAAAGAGAGAAGTGTTTGTTTTATTTATTAGAGTGAAAAAACACAAAACAGAAAGAGCTCTTTTCTGCTGGTTTACTCCCCAAGTACTGGTGACAGCTGAGTCTGGGCTAATTGGAGATCAGGCCAGAAACTCAATCCAGGTTTCCCATTTGTGTGACAGGGACAGAACTACTTGAGCAATCACCTGGTGCCTTTTTGCTGGAATTGTGGAGCCAAGGCGTGAACCCTGGCACTCTGATATGGGATGCGGGCATCCCAACTAGTGGCTTAACCACTAGTCCAAACACCTGCCCCCAGCTCCCAGTGAGTGGAGCTCTGGATTCTACATTTTAAGAAGTACCACAGGTTATCCATATTAATATCTGAAAACAGGTCTCAGATTAGGCTGAAAAGGAGAAAACAGGATGTGAGTATGCTAGCTACCTGCCAGTGGTCTTCCAAAATTTTAGCTCCAACTGGGAACAAAATTCCCTTTCCCTACAAGAACCAGTTGTATTCTTCTATCTTGATGTCTTTCACAGTATATGAAACCATCTCTACACATATCTTTTCCTACTAGATTATGAAATCCTTATTCTTCCCACAGTGCCTGTCATAGGTGGCATACTAAGTGCTCAAATGGGAATAGCAATTTTATGGGTAGTTGATTTTCTTTAAATGACTAGAGATTTAGATGTATGAATTTAATTTGAAAATGATGCATTACTGTCCCTCTGACAGATTGATTAAATATTTAGGCCATATTAATTACATGAAGGGTAGCTTTTCTTCCATCCAAATTAGGGGATAAAGCTTATTTTCCTTTATAAATGCAGCTGTTAACGATTTTTCTGGTTTTGTCTAGGGATTACTAATTTGCTCTTGCTTTTCAGATTATATGTATGTATTTTAAGAATGTTCAGACCTTGGGGGATGGGAAGGGAGCATGACAAAACTTTTTAAAATAACATTAATTTAGTTAAGGGAATGTTGATGTAATGAACCTTTTCTCTCTACTTTAGAAAAATTGTAGTTCATCTGTTTTATTGCATTTTGGGTTAAAAATACATCAATGTTTAACTTCTAGCCTCATGTCATAGTACACTGTGCAGCAGAGAGAAGACCAGATGTTGTAGAAAATCAGCCAGATGCTGCCTCTCAACTTAATGTGAATGCTTCTGGGAATTTAGCAAAGGAAGCAGGTAATGATGACTTTATAAAGTCTTCATAAAATATTAAGCGATCACCAAATTCAAAAAGTTTGGTGAATCGTTTGTCAGAGATTTGTTTTTAAGTTTTACAAAATACAAATCATAAATTCATCTTGAAAAGATGTCATGTGAAAATTTAATGAATTTGTCTTTTGTTTTTTCTTTTTATAGCTGCAATTGGAGCATTCCTCATCTACATAAGCTCAGATTATGTATTTGATGGAACAAATCCACCTTATAGAGAGGAAGACATACCATCTCCCCTAAATCTATATGGCAAAACAAAATTAGAAGGAGAAAAGGCTGTACTGGAGAACAACTTAGGTAAGATATAATCTCTAGTCCCTGGTAGTTCATATTGTTTTAATAAATTAGCTAATTAAAAATTATAGTGTAGTCAATAGGAAAATAAGAATTTTAAAAATCCTCAAGGATAACTATAAGCATTTCTAGACTTTCTCCAGTGTCTCTATATACACACATATGCACCCCTACACCACCTTTCTATATAGCTAACAAATCATAGAGTACAAATTTTATATTTTTAAAAATTAGAATACCGTTTCTCTTAGATTGATATATTCTCTTTTTTTCATTGATGTATTCTATGTTTTTTCTTCATTTGTTTGTATGTATATTTTATATATATACACATGTATATATAAAACATACACGTTTATAAAAGGTACACACTTAAAAGAATTTTAAAAAAATTACAAAATTGTAAAGAGTGATAGTTTAATGTCACCTAAGAGGTGTAAGCACCAAATATGTTAAATATAGAAACATTTTATGTGTATTTTATTTTTTATAGTACGTATCTTGGTCTGTGACCACCTTGTCCCCCAGCTTTGCATTGCAGGACACATGAAGCGAGCTCTAGGATCTTAGTCCTGACAGTGGCTGTGTAGTGCTTAATTTAATGGTTTTCAGGGCTGGTGTTGGTGGTATAGCAGGTTTAGCCTCTGCCTGTAGCACCAGCATCCTTTATGGGTGCTGGTTACAGACCTGGCTGCTCCACTTCTGGTCCAGTTCCCTGCTAATGCTCCTGGGAAAGCAGTGGAAAATGGCTGAAGTCCTTGGACCCCTGCACTCACATGAGAGATCCTAAAGAAACTGCTTGGCTCCTGACTTCAGCCTGGCCCAGCCTTGGCCATTGCAGCCATTCAGGGAGTGAACCAGTGGATGGAAGATCTTTCTCTCCCCTGCCCATAACTCTGCCTTTTAAGGAGTTAAGAAATAAATCTTTTTTTTAGAGTATTTTTTTTTAAGATTTATTTATTTATTTGAAAGTCAGAGTTACAGAGAGGAGAGGCAGAGAGAGAGAGGTCTTTCATCCGCTGGTTCACTCTTCAGTTGGCCGCAACTGCTGGAGCTGTGCCGATCCAAAGCCAGGAGCTTCTTCCGAGTCTCCCACGTGGGTGCAGGGGTCCAAGGACTTGGGCCATCTTCCACTGCTTTCCCAGGCCATAGCAGAGAGCTGGATCAGAAGAGGAGCAGCCGGGACTAGAACAGGCACCCATATGGGATGCTGGCGCTTCAGGCCAGGGCGTTAACCTGCTGCTCCACAGCGCTGGCCCCAAGAAATAAATCTTAACCAAAAAAATTTAATGATTCTCTACACTAAAATTGTTGCCCTGTACTAGGGGTGGGGTATGTTGGGCCCATAGGTTGCATAAGGCCTATGAAACCATATGGTCTGGCTCTGCCAAGGCATCTTCAATGGGAATTCAAAATTCAGTATATCTAAAATGGGTTGATTTATTTTTTTAAAGATGTATTCATTTATTTGAAAGAGTTATAGTGCTAGAGGGGGAGACAGAGGAGAGAGATACTCCATCCACTGGTTCTTGCCCCAAAAGGCTCCAACTTCCAAGGCTGGGCCAGGCTTAAGCCAGGAGTTTCCTCCAGGTCCCCAACGTGGGTACAGGGGCCCAGGCATCTGGTTAACCTTCCACTGGTTCCTGGGCACATGAGTAGAGAGCTGGATCCGAAGTGGAACAGTGGGGACGCTACTAGTGCCCACATGGGTTGCTGGCGATATAGACAGTGGCTTAACCCACTGTGCCACAGCAACTGGCCCCAACAGGCTAATTTATTTATTTTTAAAGATTTACTTATTTGAGAGGAAGGTTTACAGATGGAGAGAGGGAGAGACAGAGATCTTCCTTCTGCTGGTTCACTCTCCAAATGGCTACAGTGGATAGAGCTGAGCTGATTCGAAGGCAGGAACTCGGAGCTTCTTTAGAGGTCTCCCATGTGGGTGCAGGGGCCCAAGGACTTGGGCCAACTTCTGCTGCTTTCCAGGCCATAGCAGAGAGCTGGATTGGCAGTGGAGCAGCCGAGACTCGAACCAGTGCCCATATGGGATGTGGGTGCCACAGGTGGAGGCTTAGCCTGTTATGACACAGTGCTGGCCCCACACGCTAATTTTTAAAGTGATAATTTTGTATAGCTTGTGAAAGATGTTAGAAATATCCAAATGGCCCTTTGGAGGAAAAAGGGTTCACCATCCCTGCTGTGGACTATATGATGTCCTTGAAAATTAGCTAGTATAATAATCATGCTGTTGAACATTTTGTTTCTCAATTTTTTGTATTATAAATTATCCTGAAATTACCCTTGACTACATTTATATCTTAGTCTGTTGTGGTCCTGTTACAATCGAATAAAGCAGACAGGTTCATTTATAAAGAACTGAAATTTTTTCCTTTCATTTTTGGAGATTAGGAAGTACAAGTGAGGTGCCAACATCTCTTTGAGTGCCATTTGCATCCTCCTCCCAGGGACCCTCTTCCCAGGGTCCTCATGTGGCAGATTAACTAAAAGGGATGAACTCCCGTCAAGCCCTTTTATAAAGACACTGATTCATTCATAAGGGCTCAATCTTTATGACTGTACAGCTGCCAGAATGTTCCACTTTCCAGCACTGTTGTATTGGGGATTAAGTTTCAGTGTGAATTTTTGAAGAGACCAAAAACATTCAAACCACAGCAACACCTGTATTCACTTCTGTCTTAGTCCATTTTCTGTTGCTGTGACTTAGTACTGCGTGAAGATTGGGTGACTTTATAAAGAAAGGCTGTTTATTTTGGTTCCAAGTTAGAGATCCAAGGTCAAGGGGCTGCTTCTAGTGATTATTGCCTGATTGCTGACAGAGTCCTGAGGTGTTGTCAGGCATTGCATGGCAAAAAACTGGGAGCTTGATCATGTCTCTGTGGTCTCTCTCATGAAATGCTCTCAGTGTTCTTCTGGGGGATTCACCTTGCTGACTTTATCTAATTCTCATGACCTTCCAAGGGCCCCACTTTAATCACCATAATTACATTAGATTTCCAATCTGAATTTCTCATAATGTGCATTAAACGTAATACCATATAGCCCTTCAGGGCTCTCAGTATACAAACCATAGCAACTTGTTTACTAATTGGTTTTAATTTTCAAAGAAAATGTTTGTTGGCTTTCAGTTAAAATGCTAATTATCTAAAATTTTGTAACCCCTCACCAGGAACCAGTATGAAATCTGAGTACCTCAGAAATTTTTATTAGTGATTATAAGAGTGATGAGAACCGTCACATACTTTTCACGTAACTCCATCAGTTATATAATTTTGCCACATTTTTTTATACTAGGCTTTTGCTGAACCAGTCAGTACATAATTGCATTTCATCCCCAGAAACTTAAATTGTGGTATCTTCTAACAAAAAAAAGTTTGTTTTTTTTTTTAAGATTTATTTTATTTATTTTAAGGCAGAGGTAGAGCTAGCCAGCGAGCTTCCATCTGCTGGTTCACTCCCAAGTGACTGCAATGGCTGGGCCTAGATCAGGCCAAAGCCAGGAGCTTCTCAGGACTCCCATGTAGATGACAGCAGCACCACAAACATTAGGGCCATCCTTCTGCTTTTACCAGGTCATTAGCAGGGAGCCGGATCAGAAGTGCAGCAACAAGGACTTTAATCATTGCCCATATGGGATGCTGGCGTCACAGGCACCAACTTAATCACCATGCCACAGTGCCAGCTCCAAGAGAACTTTTTACATAATTGTAGTTCAGTTTTCAAATTTAGGAAAGCAGACAGAAATCTGAGTATAGTAATGTAATGAAAAATGCAGTCTATTAGGAATTTTCCCAGTAGCTACAGAAGTTTCCTATATTGCTTTTACTTTTCAAAATTTAAGAACCCATCAAATTTATTATTTGCTTTTATTCATCTCTAGGAGCTGCTGTTTTGAGGATTCCTATTTTGTATGGGGAAGTTGAAAAGCTTGAAGAAAGTGCTGTGACTGTTATGTTTGATAAAGTACAGTTCAGCAACAAGTCAGCAAACATGGACCACTGGCAGCAAAGGTTCCCTACACATGTCAAAGACGTAGCCACAGTGTGCAGACAGCTAGCGGAGAAGAGAATGCTGGTAAGAGTCTTTGGAAGGAAGGGTGCCTAACTTCCCTATTAGTGAAGATCCACTTTTTTCCATGCTTGAACTCTCATAGCTCTACTTGGAGCACTAAGGAATGAAAGTTTAAAAGTGCTTTTACAAAACCCAAAGGACAAACAAAAGGAGCTTACAGATAGTAGACTATATTTGTGAAGAATTAAAGTACTATATTTTTGCATGTGAATTTATGTTTCACCTATGATAGACATATTTTCTTTCCTTGCAAGATGAAGGAGATTTGTATTTTTTTTTTTAGTAAAAAAGTAATCACTTAATGCCTTTTGAGAACTTATGTTGGTTATGCCAGAGAGGGAAAGTAGTTTATCATTTTAGCCACTTTAGGATTTTTTTTTTCTTCTAGATCTTTGAATAGGAGTTAATTTGAAGAAGTTGGTACTAAAGTGAAAGAGATTTATAGTTTAGAATATTTGTAATAGTATGATTTTAAAAATTATTTTGAATATATAGTATAGTATTATTTGAGAGTGTTTAATTAGCTCATCTTGAAAAATGGTATTTTGGTTTTAGCTTCGAGTAATTAAAAGTACTCATTAAATTATATTGCGTTTCTATAAAAATGTCTGGTCAGTTTTAGGATTCTCATTAATTAAGTTAAGTTGGAGCTATTTATATTTACTTAACTTAAAAAATCCTTCAGGCAAAATTCTACAGTTTACTTCCTGTGGGTTGAGCATTTAGCCTAGTGGTTAAGATACCTGTATCTCATATCAAATCACCGGGGTTCAATTCCTGGTTTTAGCTCCTCTGCTTACTTCCTGATTATGCAGGCAATGAGAGGCAGCAGGGGATGGCTCTAGTAATTTTGTTCTTGGCACCCACAAAGGAGACCAGGATTGAGTTCTGGCTGCCTGCTTAGCCCCACACATTCCCAGCTGTAGAGGCCATTTGGGGAGTTAAACAATGCTTGGGAACTGTATCTTTTTCTTCATCTTTGCCTCCCCCTAATCTCTAGTACTGCTTTTTATGTCTAACTGGAACTATTTATAGGAATTTAGATATCTTGTGGAAAATAGATAAGGAGGCTTGCATTTTACTTCCTGGGCCTTTTAAATTAACTTTTTTGTCAGACCTCTTATTCCACTTCTCAAAAAGTTGAAACTAATTTTTTTGTGTGTCATTGTTCTTAGGATCCGTCAATTAAAGGAACTTTTCACTGGTCTGGCAATGAACAGATGACTAAGTATGAAATGGCATGTGCAATTGCAGATGCCTTCAACCTTCCTAGCAGTCATTTAAGACCTGTAAGTACATGGCATTTAAAACCCTCTCACTTCTTGAAAGTCCAGAACAGTCACAGTAGTGGGTGTTATTGATGATATTTTTCTTGTTTGGGATGTGTTGTATAACTTGATTTCTGAGTGCACATTGAAGTGAACTTTGATTTTATTGGCAGTGTGCAGTGTTTCTTTTCTCTAAATTATTATCTCTGAGGAAACCATGAGTATTTATGAAGTTTATAGAAATAAGATTGTCTTGATTGTGGCAGGCATTTTGTTTATTTTTCCATGAAAGTTCAAATTAGATTTCTTGCATGAAAAGCAAAATGAAATAGAGAATATATAACCCTCAAGAATCTAAAGCTTTTATTTACTTTGGATTGTTTATTTTTGTGTTTAAAGATTACTGACAGCCCTGTCTTAGGAGCACAACGTCCAAGAAATGCTCAGCTTGACTGTTCCAAATTAGAGACCTTAGGCATCGGCCAGCGAACACCATTTCGAATTGGAATCAAAGAATCACTTTGGCCTTTTCTCATCGACAAGAGATGGAGACAAACGGTTTTTCATTAGTTTATGTGTTATGTTTTTTAATAAGAAGTATAGTATGTGGCACTTTTTAAAGAATAAAGGAAATAGTTTTGTATGAGTACTCTTAATCTTTCAGGTAAAAGATGCTCTTGCACTAGTGAATTATCTAAAGAAACTAAAGGGCAATGATGCTGTGTTTGCAGTAATAATATTTGTTTGTCAGTTTGTTCTGGCTTAACTTTCAGGTTCAGTGTAGTAAATTATGTTTCTTAAATATTTGAGAGCCAGGGCGAAACAGATCTGCTGTAGACTTTTTTTTAAAATACATTCACTCCTATAACCTCCATATTTTCAGGTTTCCTGCAACTGTTGACCCTTTTATGGTAATTGTTTTAAACTGTGTGAAATAGTATGAAAATCATTGATGTTCATTATTGCTTTGCTTGAGCTCAGATCAAAATGTTTGAAGAAAGAAACTTTATTTTTGCAACTTAAGTACAGTTTTTATGCTTGAGATATTTCAATATGTTATGTATATTGGAACTGCAGCTTAATGCCTCCTGCTTTTTTAGCAGTGTATGGTGAGCACATGAAAGAGAGGGTGTGTATGTGTAAATTTTTGAATATAAATATATAACTGTCTTCACTCCATGTTGCTAAGTGATAATTCACATGTGTGGTTATACTAATAATAGTGGGCCTTGTATGTCTTTTGACCTTTCATGATAATAAATATGTACTGCTGGCATGTAATGCTTAGTTTTCTTGTATTTCTCTTTTTAAGTGTAAGGACCAAATATCTAAACTGTTCTCTTCTTGTTTTAATTTCACATTCTTATGTAACATCTGATGCTTATAAAAGAATATAGTTGATAACACTGAGATATAAAATGCCACAATAAGTGAACACCTGTGAACCTCCCACTTGAGATCTAGAATATTATAGGTATTGTATCTGCTTGTATCAACTGATTATTTCTTTACTGAAAATAAATATATAATATTGTTATATATTTAAGTAGAATGTTCCTTCTGAAGAATGCATAATATTTGAATATTATTCTATGTAATTTTCAGTTGACTTTAATCTCAGTAATATAACTTAAGTCCTTAATAAGGAAACCAGAAAGGTGGAAGACTTGTGCGACTTGGGTTGTGTTCAGGGGTCAGTGCAAACCCTGATTTCAGATTTTCTGATTACACTTTTAGTAATATTCTTTTTCCAGATTATAATCTTTTTCCCTCACTGAACACTAAGTATTTGTTTCTAACTTCCTAATTTACGTAATTTATGGGTGATTTGATTCAAGCAGTAGTTACCAAACTACATGCTATAGAATTAACAGAGGATATTTTACTGATACTTGAGTCCTACAATAGGTCCCTTGAAATAGAATTGCAGGAATTGAAATCTGCTTGCTTAATTTTTTGGTGCTAAAACCCAAGATTATTTCTTTTTTTTTATTTTTTGACAGGCAGAGTGGATACTGAGAGAGACAGAAAGGTCCTCCTTTTGCCGTTGGTTCACCCTCCAAGGGCCGCCATGGCTGGTGCACTGCAGCCGGCGCACGGCGCTGATACAAAAGTAGGAGCCAGGTGTTTCTCCTGGTCTCCCATGGGGCGCTGCAGCCAGTGCACCGCGCAGATCCAAAGGCAGGAGCCAGGTGCTTCTGGTCTCCCATGGGGTGCAGGGCCCAAGCACTTGGGCCATCCTCCACTGCCTTCCCGGGCCACAGCAGAGAGCTGGCCTGGAAGAGGGGCAACCGGGACAGAATCTGGCGCCCCGACCGGGACTAGAACCCGGTGTGCTGGCGCCGCTAGGTGGAGGATTAGCCTATTGAGCCGCGGCGCCGGCCTCTTTTTTTTTATTTTAAAAATAGGGACACAGATATCCCATCTATGGTCCACTTCCCAAATATGGCTGGGCCAGGCCAAAGCCAGGAAAGAGAAACTGAATCCCAGTCTCCGATTTGGGTTGTAGGGACCCAATTAGTTGAGCCATTACTACTGTCTCCCAGGGTGCACAGTAGAAGGAAACTGTAATCAGAAGAGGTAAAAATTGAAACCCAAATATTCCAACATGGATTGCTGGCATCACGTGTGGCACACTGCTATACCAAATAGTTACCTCTATCTTTTATTTAAATAATTTCACAGACCTATAAAATTGTATATTGTATGTGCTATGTGATGTTTTGATTCATATATACATACGTAATAGCCAATCAGTAAGCATATACTCTATTTTTAGATGTTTCCCTATGTGGTCGTTTCATGCATATGAACATTGCAATCAGTAAATATATCCTGTTTGTAGATGTTTCCCAAATACTTCTAGTCAACCTGTCACTTGCATTTGGTCACCAAATTAAAGCTGTAGCTTTTTTTTTTTCTTTCAGTTAGAACAATTCATATATAGTAGAAAGTTAAAAAAGTTTCAGAAAGTGAAAATCATTCTTACTCTGTAGCCACCCATTTTCTATCTTGGAAGAAACCAATGCAAAACCTAGGTTTCTAGAAGCACTGTGCATATGTAAGAATATGCTCACACAACATGTGTGTAAATGCTTGTACTTTTCACTGTCCTCCCTTATACAAAAGTAGCATAATACATGTTTTTTTGCAGTTTCTTTTTAAACTTGAAATTTGCTTTATATTAGTTTTGCTTTGCTTAAAGATTTGCTTATTTGAAAGAGTGATAGGGAGCAAGAAAGAGAACTTCCATCCACTGATTTACTGCCCACAAGAGCTGGGGGTGGGTCAGGTCAAAGCCAGAAGCATGTCAAAGCCAGAAACTCCATCTGGGTCTCATGTGTGGATGGTAGGGACTCTCATACTTGAAACCATCATCTGTTGCCTCTCAAGTGCATCAGCAAAAAGCTGTATCTGAAGTGGACTGGTCGGGACTTGAACCAGGTATTCTGATATTAGAAGCAGGCATCCCCTTGGCCGGTGCTGAGGCTCACTTGGCTAATCCTCCGCCTGCGGCACCAGCACCCCGGGTTCTAGTCCCACTTGGGGCGCCGGATTCTGTCCTAGTTGCTCCTCTTCCAGTGCAGCTCTCTGCTGTGGCCCGAGAAGGCAGTGGAGGATGGCCCAAGTGCTTGGGCCCCTGTACCCACGTGGGAGACCAGGAAGAAGCTTCTGGCTCCTGGCTTCAGATCGGCACAGCGCCAGCCGTAGCAGCCATTTGGAGGGCGAACCAACAGAAAGAAGACCTTTCTCTCTGTCTCTCTCACTAACTCTGTCTGTCAAAAAAAGGGGAAAAAAAGCAGACATCCCTAACATAATTTAAAAAAATTATTCATATGAAATTTCTCTCCTACAGGAAATTTGCTACCACGTAAAGAATGCCTACTATATTCAAGACTGGTATTTAGCCTAATGGTAAAGCTGCTCATATCCCATGTTGAAATATGTGGGTTTGGTTACTTACCCCAACTCCTAAGTCTAGCTTGCTGTGAATGCACATCCTGGCAAGGTGGGGGCAGTGGTGATAGTTCAAGTAGTTGAGTTCCTTCGGCCAGCTAGGGAGACTTGATTTTAGTTCCTGTCTCTGAGCTTCATTTCTGGTCCAGCCCCCACAATGGTAGGTATTTGGAGAGTGAACCAGTGAATGGGAGCTTGTTCTTTTTCTGTCTTAACTCTAAAATAATTGAAGAAATTTTTTCAAAAAGAATGCCTGTATTCTTTCCAGATTTTCCAATAGTCATCCTTAAGCCACATTTTTTGCTTCAAAATATTTGAAAGGCACAGAGAGAGAGGGAGAGACAGCAAGATCTTCCATCAGCAGGTTCACTGAGCTGGCCCATCCTGAAGCCAGAAGCCTAGAACTGCATCCAGGTCTCCACCCAAGCACTCAGCATCTTTGGCTGCTTTCCTAGATTCATTAGCAGGCAGCTGAATTGGAAGTGGAGCAGCTGGAACTTGGAACTGTGGATGCTGGCATCACAAACGATATCTTAACCCATGGTACCACAATGCCAGCCCCAGAATTTAACCAATTTATCCTGTCTTTCCTCGGTATATATGCTTAAGGTATATGCAGGGGTATAATTTTTGCCATACCATTATAAACGCTATTCCGATTTTACCTGTTGTTCCAGTAGTGTCTTTTTTAGACTTACATAGTCCAGGATTATGGCATTGTTACCATGTTGCATTAGCTTCCAGGTGGAATAGTTCTTCAGTTTTACTGTCTTTATGATCTTGACCTATTGAACATTTCTCAGAAAAGCTTAAGCTTGCCATTATTACCACCAATTCTATTCATCTTAAGCAGGTTTTATTGTAGCTTCCCTTACCCATATTTGTAGATTTGTGACAAAAAGCTAGCTCCCATTATTCTCAGTACATTTACTCATTGTCTCAATTGACCTATAAGAACTATTTTTAGCAACACCAACCAAGTCCTGCCCTGCTCTTCTCATCACATAGGCTTCAGTGAACCAGCTGAGCATCCCCTGATTCTTGGTCCTGACCAGTGAGTGTGGGTACAAGAACACATGAACAATGCACCAACAGTTAAGTAGGCCATCGTGTACCAGTAGATCCACAAAAACAAGGAACTAATTCCTTTTTTTGGGCTGCATTGATTTCGTTATATCAGTGGGTTAATTGGAGTTCATTTATTAAGTCTATTATTGATGACCTTTAAGCTGTGGAAAATATATAATTTTCATTTATAAGCCCAGTATGTAAAACATTCAGGTTTGTGAGACTTTATGTTCTGCATATCTATAAATGGTATCTATAAGCTTACAAGTATGAAGGACTGCAAACTTTCTGGGAAAGTGGAATTAAGTGATAAATTTCTTTCATTTTAGAAATTTGAAATCTTTATGTACTTTTCTCAATAGCATTTTATTAACTTTTTGAAAACCATTCATTAGCATAGATTTTTAAGATTTTTGCTGTCAATATAAACTTAAAAGTTCATTCTCCTTGAACTTTTAAAATTTTATTTATTTAAAAGGCAGAGCCAGGAAGGTCTTCAGTCCATTGGTTCTCTACAAATAGCTGTAACAGCCAGAGCTGGGCCAGGCTGAAGACAGTGGCCAGGAGCTTCATCCAGGTTTCCCATATGGGTGGCACTTGCCCAAGCACCTGGGTCATTTACTGCTGCTTTCCCAGATGCCTTACCTGGGAGCTGGATTGAAAGTGGAGTAGCTGGGACCCGAACTAGTGTTCATAACGGGATGCCAGTGTCACGCAGTGGCTTAACCCACTGCACCACAATGCCAGCCCCTTGATTATTTTGAAGTGTGCGTATATATGCTTTAGGTCCCAAATGTGTAACAGTTTACACAATAAAAATTTTAAAAAATCAGTACCAAAATAGGAAAACAGCATGAGATACACACTTAACAGTGTGAGGAATAGAACATATCATAAGTATTTCTCAGATATCTTTGTTACATGCTTGAAACACTATCCCATGTAAAGTTATTTTTTTATTTTGCATAGGTTTAAATATAGAACTATAATCATTTCAGCCACTATCAGAAGTAACCCCATTCGAGACCAGGAGAAGCATCTGGCTCCTGGCTTCGGATCGGCACGGTGCGCCGGCCACAGCGTACCGGCCATAGCAGCCATTGGAGGGTGAACCAACGGAAAAGGAAGACCTTTGTCTCTGTCTCTCTAACTGTCCACTCCATCTGTCAAAAAAAAAAAAAAAAAAAAAGTAATCCCATTCTCCAGTAGCAAAAGTTGTGGAAGAAATTACTATTAGAATCTAAATTAAATTTTATCTCTTTGAAAACGAAATGATTTTTTTTATAATAGGTATAGCAGTAGAGTTTTTTTATTTTATATTTTTAGATTTATTTATTTATTTATTTGAGAGGCAGAGTTACAGAGAGAGAGACAGAGGTCTTCCATCTGCTTATTTACTCCCCAAATGGTTGCAATGGTTGTAGCTGAGGTGATCTGAAGCCAGGAGGCAGGAGCTTCTTCTGGGTCTTCCACGTGGCACAGGGACCCAAGCTTTCGGACTGTCTCCTGCTGCTTT